TGGGGGGGCCCTGTGGTTTAGAGGGGGATGAGGGAGGTTGGGGGGGCCCTGTGGTTTAGAGGGGGGTGAGGGCAATTGGAGGGGGGACCCTGTGAGTTAGGAGGGGGTGACGGTGCTTATGGGGGGCCTTGTGGTTTAGGAGGGCATCAGGGCAGTTGGGGGGTGCCCTGTGGGTTAGGGGAGGGTGAGGGGAAGGTGAGCTGAGGGGGGTCTGAAGGCTGGCCCAGCTGATGGCTGCTCTCCCCGCAGGGAAGCCGACCCTGTATGGCAGCCTGACCCGCCGCGGGCTCAGCACCGAGGGCGTCCCTGACATCGCCGCCTCCGAGGGCTTCGTGGTTGGGGAAGTCACCAAGGTGCCAGGGCTGGAGGGGAGGGGGGGGTCGGTAACCGCCTACCGCGCATGAAGGGGTGATAATCTTCTGCCAGTCAAAATAGCAGCCTAAAGCTGTCACCCAGTCCCCTGCATGGTCCTATCCAGCTATCCTGGGCCTCCTGCCTGTGCAGCACCCTGGAGCTGGTCCGTAGCATCCCATAGTCGGGCTGCGACTGTGTATCATATTTGGCCACGCCATCGCGGCCATCCCTTGCCACCCGGGGCTCGCATCTTGAGAAGGCGTAAGGAGACGTGCCCAGTGCTGCACCTTCCATCAGTCTTTAGGCTGTGAGAGATCACAGCTGGGTCCAGATCGTAGTTCTACCTTGGCAGCCTCTGTGTTTCAGTAGGACTAACAGCATTTCTAATTCTTTTTCTCCTCTTTTTCCCCCCTCTAGAAAAGCATTCTCATTTCTTGTCCTCACGAAAATGTGTCCACAAAATTCCTGGCCCCGTACACAACTTTTTGTAGAATTCATCAGAAAAGTGTAAGTAACCTTGCGAAGTGAGTGGGAAAAAACTGGAAGTGACTGTGAACTTTCACAACGTGTCTCTGACTGTTGCGTGCTCATTCTGAGGGGTGGCCTGCAGCATGACTTTGTGTGGCAATGAGGTAATAAAACATATCAGATCGTAGAAACTTGGAAAACTTGATTATGGTTAAGTTTACCCCCCAAAAATAATCTCTAAAATTGTTTAGACTGTTTTCTTGCAAGTGATCTAATTTCTGCGCACCACAGGCCCATGACAGATCCCCCTGTAAAGGAATAAGATGGGTGAATTAGTGTATCAAAAACCAAGATAAAAATAAGCCACTGAGCTCTTCATCTCTGACTGGTTCATATCTATCCTGTGTAATGAAGCTGTGTGGTTTTGATATTTGCTGTATTAATTTCTGTATGCGGGGCTGGGAATCGAATGTTGTATAAATTCCTTCTGACCTGGTGGGAATTCAGACACCAGAATGGCCCAGCTTGTATTTAAAAAATAAATAAATTGGTTGAACAACATTATTTAAAAGCAGTCCTGCTCGTTTTGCTGAATAATCTTTCTTATTGCACCCCTGTCAATCTGGGGGTACAACAAGCACAGCTTCTCACTGAACAGTGATACAGAAAGGCTGACTCTGACCTGAAATTTTATTTCTTCACTGAAGAGAAGCGTGTAATTTGGCTTTGCTGGAAAGTAGTCTGTGTGTTTGCTGAACGCTGAACCCTACGTGGAAATGGTCTAAGCAACTAGGTAGTGTGTAGCCGGCAGGTACAGCCGGCTGCCCTAAAGGGAGTCCCCTGAAAGCTCCTGGAGATGTTTTAGTATGCTTCTCATGATTTATTGAGTAAATTGTTGTGATAAACCCAGCCGAAAATGCTGAAAAGCCAGTCTCTATTAACGAAGCTCAAAAGCAGTAGAAATCAAGGCGTGTTTTGACGTAAAGGCAATTCCGCATCTCTACAGCTGTTTTAAGAGGAAGCGTGGCTCTGCTGAGAGATGGAGCTTGGCAGCTCCAGAGACAGAGGTGAGTCACTTCTCTGAGCTTTGTGCTACTTAAGAGTCCCCAGCTGCCCTTTTGTGTGATAAATGGAATCGACATTCAAAGCACAGCAAAATGGAAATGCAGGCGTAAGTGTTTAGTCTGCTGTCAAACGGGGGCGATGGCTTACAGCTGCACTGCAGATCTCTCCTCTGGAAAGCAGCTGAAGCAGTATCTATTAATATGTAGATGAGTTTTAAAGCCAGTGTGGACTAAGCTCCAGTTATCCTTTTTACCTGCTGCCTCTTGTTCTGAGCACTCATGCTTGGCCTTGCCCGTTTACGTATCCCTCTTGAAAATTTGGGAATATGTCGAATGTCAGTGAGGCGTGAATGACCTTCACAGGCTTTTTTTTTTTTTTTTTTTTTTAAGGGGGAAAAAACTAGTAGAAGAAAACCACTCCTGATCTACCACTGCCCCTGTGTGAAGTTAATGGAGGGTGTGTAGCCCCTGCCAGGGTTTTTTTTTTTTTTTTTTTTTTTAACTAGGGAGCAAATTACCACGGATTGGTTTGTTATATAAAATGCCACTCCTGTTACCAATGTATTTGTCACATGACCAATATAGAAGTAAATGTACTTAATGGCTGTTGTAACGGCTAAACTGTTACCTTGTGCTCTTATTTAAATCTTTTAATTCCTGTTTTAATTCCCAATTATTTTTTTTCAAGTGGAGGTTGAGTATTGATCCTGCACCCTGTTAAAATTAGCTGTGGTTTGAGCTGTCGGAGCTTTTCAGGAGAGCAGTTTGGTCTGACTCTTGCTTGGATAGGGGAACTTATGACTGCAGGGTGGCATATCGTGTCCCCGCAAGCCCTGGCTGATACACGTGCAGCAATAGGATGCCATAGGACGTCCTCCTTAACATCTGGAAACAGCTGGAGATTGATGCAGGTCTGTTATGTACTTGATCCGCCCAAGGGCGTTGTCCTTAAATCTCAGGCCTCCAGCTGTCATCTTTCTTGGCAAAGTCTCTCAATCCACTCCTGTCTTACCTGGACAAGCTCGAGAAGTGGGCCCCTGTGAACCTCGTGAGGTTCATCAAGGCCAAGTGCAAGGTCCTGCACCTGGGTGGGGGCAACCCCCGGTGTCCGTACAGGCTGGGGGACGGAGGGATGGAGAGCAGCCCTGAGGAGAAGGGATTCTGCCCCTCTGCTCCGCTCTGGGGAGACCCCCCTGGAGCCCTGCGTCCAGCTCGGGGGTCCTCAGCACGGGAAGGACATGGAGCTGTTGGAGCGGGGCCAGGGGAGGCCACAGCAATGGTGCGAGGGTGGCACAGCTCTGCTGGGAGGAGAGGCTGAGAGCTGGGGGGGTTCAGCCTGGAGAGGAGGAGGCTGCGGGCAGACCTGATTGCGGCCTTGCCGTGCTTAATGGGGGCTTGTGAGAAAGGTGGGGACAGGCTTTTTAGCAGGGCCTGCTGCGACAGGACAAGGGGGGATGGTTTTAAACTAAAGGAGGGCAGACTTAGACTAAACACAAGGAAAAAATTTTTCATGCTGAGGCTGCTGAAGCACTGGAAGGGGTTGCCCCGAGAGGTGGGAAATGCCCCATCCCTGGAAGCA